ATAAAATCTTCCTTCCGACTCAATGAGGGGAGCGCGCCTGCACAGTGGGCCGCAGGAACTGCTGTTCTGAACCCTTGGCCAGCTGCGGGTCAGCTCTCTGCAACTGCTACAGTGTCTTTCCAGCTACTTACAAGTTACTTTGCAAACCACTCTGCTTTCCATAGTTCATAGGTCACAAGGGGTCTAGGAAGTTCTTCTTTGACGATAAACAAATATAAACCCAAAAGGATACAGTTTTTGTTAACACACTTTTCCCACTGACATTTATCAATATAATGCCTGTTCATTACATAAATAATTTATAACTATCCTGTCAATAAATAACCAACAAAATAACAATGAAACAAATTAGACCTAGATGACTGAGATTCATAACTGAGACTGCCTCTATTAACGTAGTGACTAATAAATTTTCGCCTTCAAAAAATAAATCTGGTCCGACATGAGAACACACGCCTGTAATTCCAGCACTTGGGAGGCTGAGACAGGAGAATCATCAGAATTTGAGGCCAGTCTGAGTCACATCCAAGAGTCCCTGAAGTACATAGCAAGATCATGTCTCCAAAAAGAGAAATCTAATAGTTAGATAGTTGGACAAAAAGGAGGGAGGATCAGGGGAGGTGGAGTAGGAAGATTTTCCAACCAAGAACGACATTATAAAGCCATAGATTTCTGGTAAAATACTTTTTCTAGGTTTTTTGTTTCTTTTAAGATTTTAGATTGTGTTTTGTTTTGTCTTGTTTTGCTAAAAGGATATCGAACTCATGACCTCGTGCTTGCCAGGTAGACACTGTGCTGCTGAGCTAAATCCCCGACCCCATATTCTCTTTAATGCTATAAAAAATAATGCTCTATGGTACTTCTTATAGACTAATGTATTCCTTCTATGCCTGACAGTAAAATTCAAGAAAAGAATTTAAAATGAAAAGTACATAGCTTTTTTCCCAAACAAAAGAATATATAGATTGTAAATGATAAAGAAAAGGTAGAAACAAAATTAAAACCACCTAAACCCCCTCTGATATACTATTATATGGTATTTAAATATTAGGCTGTTACTATATCTGTATTAAGAAATCACATATAGTTACACATGCTAAAATATGTAATTTTGCATACTTTTAAAAATCATTTTATTAAGCTATGATTGATATAAAGTAACTACATGTTTAATGTACTACATAGAACTTGGATGTTTGGAGATTTATATAAACATGGACCCATCAGCCATCATTTCCATCACCCTGTATCTTTTGACTCGAGAACTGAGACCTTGCACACTATCACCTAGAGATACTGACTTATTCCTGCCCTTGCATTGTTTTTCTGTTTCTGACTCTGTTTACTTCCTTCTGCTAACTGCTCACCCTGCCTACTAGTGTTTTCAGTTCATTAGACTTGTTTTGGCCTTGTTGACTTCATGGTCTCCTTCTAGGACATCCTTGGAAGTTTCAGGAGTGCTGATTTGGTGGTCATGAATTTTTTATTGTGCTTTTTGTCATGGAAAAAATTTTCCATCAATTTTGAAAGAGTTTTATGGAATAGATTAATCTGGGTTGGAAGCTGTTTCATATGAGGTGTTGAAACACTTGACGGCAAGCTCTCCTGGTCTGTAAGACTTTGTGTTAGAGGTCTGCTGTAAGTCTAATGATTTACCTTTATAAGTGACCTATTACTTTTCTCTAACAGTTGTTATGATTCTGTCTTGTGTTGGACTACTGGAATGCTCCATGATATGTCATGGAGAAGTTCTTTTCTGATTGTGGTTATTTGGGGTTCTATATATCTTGCCTCTCTGTATGTTAAATTCTTTCCTCATATCTGGAAATTTTTTCTGCTATAATTTCTGTAAATAGGTTTCTTATGTTGCTTTCTAAGTGTTCACTAAATTCAATTAATCTTACTCTTCTTTGAATCATCTAGTCACTGGATTTTTAAATGTTGTTTTTTTTTAAGATATCTCTGAGTATGTGGTCATCTGTATCAGACCTATATCTAGTTCTGAATCTGCCCTGCATTGGTCACTTCTGCTGCCCATTACTGTCATTAGACTTGTTAATTCTAAATCTGGGTGGATTCCTGTTTGTTACCCCTTATGCATTCTAATACTGTGCTAAACTGGTCATTCATGTTTTGTGTCATCCTTTTAGCTCAGCTGGCTTTTTGTGAGTGTCTTTTGTAAGCTCACTGATCATTTACTTATTAAGTCCATTACTTGTTTAGTTATATCTTCTTCGAGCTTGCTGAGCACCTTATTGATAAGACTTTTTATCTTCTTTGTCATTTCATGTAATTCAGATGTTGGGTTTTTCATTTCCTCCCTGTTAATTCCCCACAGATCAGCACTGGAGAGCTGGAAGTTTTGGGAGGCATTTTGTTTCTTTGTCTTCTCAAGATTCTATTTGTGTGTGTGTGTGTGTATGTATGTGTGTACACACATGTACTGAGGTTTGCACTCCAATTATAGTGAAAAGATACTGATGGTAGTGTAGAGATCTCTCTAGTGCCTGCTTTTATAATGCTACACCTTGGGCATGGATAACTGTGGACCTTTGCTTCTGTCCCAAGTTGCAACACCTCCAGTAATTGTAGAGGGGAGGGTGTGCAATTTGTCCAGGATCCAGTTCCCAGGAAGTGAACCACAGTATTGTTTCTGACACAAAGATAAATCAATTAATAGCAATAAGTATGACATGCTGGCAAAAGTGACAAAATCAGCAGCAACAATAGAGTCAAAGATAAATGGATATTGACATATGATAAAAACCAATAAAAGCTACCACTGTACTACCCACAACCATAGAAAGAAGTCTAAAACCATAGACACAGGTACAAACCAAATATTGACATATGCTAATATTTACTAAATTCAAGCACACCACCCTTAAAATAGAAAGTAATTCAACAATAACAGAAGAGTTGACTAAACATCTAAATATTAATAACTATTAATTGTTAGACTACTAAAGATGGAGGGAATGGGAAACAGAGGTATGAAAGAAGTAAAATTTGAAAAATTAAGCAAAGGAAGATGAGAAGAGAAAGTGAAATAAAGAATCCTATTAAGCAGTAAAAAAAATTATTGAAATTTGATGTAATAGAAAAGAATGAACATGAAAAAAAGTTATGCCCCCTTTATCTCATCCTCTCCCTTATTTATTAAAAAATTATTTAATAAAAAAAGAAGAGAAAGAAAAGCCCAAATCCCCCCTGAAAAAAACAATAAATGAAAAAGAAAAAGAAAAAAGAATGTTTATAAAAGTGTGGTTTCTTTCTAGGGTCTGCAGTACTAGAATCTGCTGTAAATGGGGAGGGATAGTGACTCACTGCTAAGACCTATTTTGTTCCCATACTCACAGATTTGTGTGTGAATGAGGAATCCTGCTCTACATTCCTTACTGAGCGTGGCCCGCAAATGTTGTCTGCCCTAAAGCTATGAGTACTCTGCAGCTTCCAGTTTCTGAGTTTCTCTGAGCCCCTCAAGTCACAGCTTTCCCAGCCTACCCCATGGGTTTGTCTTTATTTGGTGCCCACTGCTCCAGAGGCTCCTCTGTCCATACAGCAGGCTACGGCAACCATCCAAACTGCAGTGTATCCTTACTCACTTTGGTAGATGAGAAAAGAGGTGCTGCCGGGGCAACACAAGATGCTGTGCTAAGATGTGTCTGAAAGAACAGCAAACATGAAGGCAAAGTTTCTGAATTAATGAATCTGTGGTAGGAGCCAACATTTACTAAACAGAATTTAACAGGACAGAGAAGTCTTGATAACAGACCCATACGTTTGTTCTGAGAAATAAAAGAGATAATGTGTTGAAGTGCTGTGAAAAATATTAAAAAGGCAGCATACATATCACATATTTTATAATGTTACATAAAAACAATATTAAAATTCTAATACAATAATTTACAAAATCATTTTTGTACCATGTCTCTGTTATTAGTGTAAGAACTTAAATTTTAAAACAGTGCAGGTTTTTTTTTTTTGTCTACTATTCAAGAGTAAAGAAAAAACCTAGATATGCAACGGCAAGACGGTCTCTTGTACAAATTCAAACTGATTCAGACCATCTTCTGGGATCCAAGCTTAAGAATCTTCTGAGGTCAACTCTGGGTACATGTGGGAAGAATACAGTGATCCATTAAGTGTTTTATTGGGCAGGAACAGAGTATGATGGCATTTTCTCTAATACGTTTGAAGTTCTTGACTGTGGTATTTGTGTGTAAGTACTCTGAGCATGAGATAACATGGGGGAATTGTTTAAAAAAAAAAAAAAAACAATGTCCTTCACCTGCAATCACAATTCATTTTCAGTTTTTAATAAAATAGCATACAGAAGAAACACATTTCTGTTACATATTTAATTGTAGAACCAGCTTGCCTCCCTGGTTAGAAGCTGTGGTGTGGCAGGCTGCAGCTGTCCCAGGGCAAGAACCACCAGCAACTCCTGAGATCCTCCTCATGTTGGAACTTAGGACACTGGAAAATCAAGCAACCAGCTCACCCCTCTGCTAAGCAGTAGTGAGCCTACTGCACACGGGCTGAGAATCAAACATCCCACCTCTCCCCCTCCCCTGATAGCAAATGGGAGCCAGAGATCTGAGCATCTCTTGGGAGTTTGACCATAGGCTGTATACCAAATAAGTGGGATTCCCTTCTACCATCTCTTTGAAAGCAAATATTTTTATCACTTGCTTTGCTTTATTCTGATTAATGGTACTGCTCTATTCAATACTCTGTTTTGATAAGTTCTATAATGTTCTTTATTTCATTTTATTTTGCTATACCTGATTGAAAGAACAACTATTGTGAAGATAACGAGATATACTTGTGATACCTATTACTGTTATCCTGGTAACCTACTGTGAAGTACTGTACCAATTTCACTACACTGTCTCAATTGGCTTTGTTCTGTCTTGTTCTGTTGTATTTTATTACCTTCAAAATAAGAAAAAGTTTTTAAAAATTATGTTAATAAATGGGCTTGTGTTTGACAAGTCTTTTGTGAATTCAACAAGTTTAATGCCATATAGTTCAGATTCATGATCATTCATGAAAAAGCACAGAAACTTTTGTAATCTGTCAGACATTGTAAAGTTGGCTCAGTGATATTCTTAAAGTGTTGATTTATGCATATTAAAATATTTTAATTGTGAAAATAAATACACATATATGATAAATATTTAAACAATATACTAAAAAAAGAGGTCTCATTCCCAACCCAGACAATACTTCCATACTCCTGTGCCTGTTTAAGTTTCTTCTGGACTTTTTAAACAAAATCTATTCATATACAAATATATTTATACATACATACATATATACACACACGCGCAAAGAGACAGGTAAAAATATGTCCTTTCAGCCAAAAATAGGAACATAATGCATACATGGTTCACTAATCCATTTTTAAACACTCACTACCAGTACATTTGCATCTTTAGCAGTTTTTTTATTTACTTTTTCTTAATTTTCTGTTTACTTTTACATTAATACAAATTATTTGCTGCTATGTAGAATCCAATTTAGACATTAATTTAAAAAAATATGGATACAATATAAAAGAGGCTTATACAAATGACCACACTTTTCATACAAAGCAATATACAAATACGAAAATTCAATTCTAATGTGGTGCTGAAGGACACAAGACCTAAGCAACCCAAATTGCTAGTAGATACAACTTGCTTCATTATTGTATTGATTACTCAACATTTAAAGCTTTGTATTTCAACCTAAACATGTAGATCACTTATAATTTTTTTCAAGGAATATTTTCGCTGGGTGTGGAGGCACATGTCTATACTTCTAGCACTCAGGAAACTGAGACAGGAGGATTACCACAAATTCAAAGTCAGCATGGCCTACACAGTGACTTTAAGGCCAGCCTGACTATATAGTTAAGATCTACTTTTTGAAAATTTTTCTGTAAAGTATTTGATCCCACATTACAATTCTTATTTCTATCCACTGCTTCTATATGAAAGTCCACATTCAATTCTCTAATGTATAACATGGTGTGACTTCTCACCATGAAGTGGAACTTGTTAGAGGTTTCCTAATATTCTCTAAGTTTAGAATACATGTTTCTAACATTAAACACAACAGTTTTCCATTATCAGATTTCCACAACTGATTTCATTCATGAGTTTTTTCAATGAGTTTTCATGTGCTTGATAAGTGATGCATTTTGTTTGAAGGTTTTCCCACATTCATTACATTCATAGGGTTTCTCTCCTGTGTGGGATCTCTGATGTATAACGAGTTGTGACTTTGCATTGAAAGCTTTTCCACATTCATTGCATTCATATGGTTTCTCACCTGTGTGAGTTCTTTCATGTACAATGAGATGTGACTTTTGGCTAAAAGCTTTCCCACATTCATTACATTCATATGGTTTCTCCCCGGTATGAACTCTCTGATGTTGAGTAAGACCTTCAATTTGTTTAAAGGCCTTCCCACACTGATTACATTCGAAGGGATTTTCACCAGTATGGGTTCTCATATGGTAAGTAAGAGATGAGCTATGTCCAAAGGCTTTTCCACATTCATCACATTTATAAGGTTTCTCTTTTGTATGAGTTCTTTGATGTATAATGAGGTGTGACTTTTTGCTGAATGTTTTCCCACACTCATCACATTCGAAAGGTTTCTCACCTGTATGAATTCGCATATGTTTTGTCAGGGATGAACTATACTTAAAACCTTTGCCACATTCATTACATTCATATGGTATTTCACCTGTATGAGTTCTCACATGTTCAGTAAGAGATGAGTTATACCTAAAAGATTTTCCACATTCCTTACATTCATAAGGCTTTTCACCTGTATGAGATCTCACATGTTGGATAAGGTTTGAGCTGTGTCTAAAAGTTTTTCCACATTCAGTACATTCATAGGGCTTTTCCCCAGTATGAATTCTTAGGTGGTCAGTAAGGGCATGTTTATGACCATGGGCTTTGCCACATTGAACACATTCATATGGCTTTTCTCCAGTGTGAGTTCTCTGATGTACAACAAGGTGAGACTTCTGACTAAAGGCAATTCCACATTCATTGCATTCATATGGTTTCTCCCCTGTATGAGTTCTGTGGTGGTCAATAAGTCCTTGTTTATGGCTGAGAACCTTGCCACATTGATCACACTCATAGGGTTTCACAGAAGCTTGAATTTTTTCAGTCTTAGCAGATGATGTCTCATGTTTCTCTCCCATTTGGATTTTGTCTTTCTTAGTACAGGATGAATGATGATCATATAATTTCTTTTGTTTCTTGCCAGTTTGAGTTTTGTCACACTTATCAGAAGTATGGTTGGATAATTTATCAAGTTTCTTTCCAGTTTGATTTTTGTCTTTCTTTGTATCAGATAAGCTATGCTTTAATGCCTTCTTGTGTTCTTTAGCAATATCAGGTTTCTTTTTTGCAGAGTTTTTTACATGACCAAGTGAGTCTACATTCTGTTTCAAATCCTTTCCATGTGAATCAAATTTAAACTTTTTCTGTGAAGGACTATGTTTTGTACTCACATTTTTTTTCTCCAATGAAATACACTCACCGCCTTTCTTCTTAGTTGGAGTTTTCTGGAATGCACATTCCCTAATGTGTTTGTCTTGAGATTTCTCATTATTCTTTAGCTGGTCATCTTGATGAACTTCTAAAATAGAATTTAATGATATATTCTCATGAATTTTCAAACATTCATATAACTTCATTATAAGATTTAGAAATAATTTGCTATGAGGTGAAAAGAACTATCATGAAGAAATGTCTATATCATCTTAGATTTGAGGAGACAAATGTTGCAGTAAAGCCAAGAAATAAAATTGTTAACAGTGATTAGAAACAGGTTTGACTGCTTAAAAATATGACCCTGAAACCTTGGATCAAAGATGAAATAAACACAAGGACTACTATAGTTCGTATCTAGATCTCCCCATAAAACCTGAGGTGGTCATACGTAGGACTTTTCAGAGACTGGATCTGGAGCTAGATGTGGAGTGTGTGATGCTGTGATCAAGGGTGTTTGATTACTAAATTAATCTATTTACTGGTTTTCCATAGTTCTGGGTATGGATGGGGATGTAACTCAGCAGTACAAGTACCTACCTGGCAAGTGCAAGGTCCTAAATTCAATTCCCAGTACCAAAAAGTCTGCATAGCTCTGGGTGTGGATAATGGAAAGCCCTAAGCTGGATGTGAGTACTATCCACCCTAAGGGCATGTAGCCTGGATAGAATATAGGGAGCAGAAAGAGGTCTCTACATTTCTGCTTCACTCTTTGCTGCCTTCTACCCAGCATGAACTATTTCTTCTCTGTGATGGCCCTCTGCCATGCCACCCTGCCTTGAAGCCAGCCAACCAAGACCTGAAACTACTACAAATTGCGAGCTATAATAAACTTTCCTCCTCTAACTTTGGGTATCCAGTATTTTGTCTCAGCAATGAGGAAAGTAACTAAGCCAAGAATATTAATCAGAGAATAAATGAAGCTAAAAGACCTTGGGAATATAGCCAATATATTCTGAATCTCTCCTCAACCATAGATGCCCAGATCTAAAAAATACCAGTTTATGCATAATATTTAGTGCCCATGGCTTGTACTATATTACTCTACCTCTCCATATTCAGTTGTAAACACATCTGGTTCAATCCAATATATCCAATGAGACTCTTCCTCTCAAAAATGTAGCAGACTCTGATTAGGCACAGTAGCAAGAACTTGTAATCCCAGCTACTTGGGAGGGTGATAGAGAAGCATTACAAGCTTGAGACAAGCATGGGAAACTTAATGAGAAATTATGTCAAACTAAGAATTTAAAACACCTGGGGGTTTAACTAGTGGTAGAGTGTTTGCCTAGCATGTATGAGGTCCAATTCTCAATATCATCAAAATAAATTTAACTTCATTGGGTTTCCACTCACTGCTTAAATTTTAAAAATTATACAAGACAAGCACTAGTAAAGCCACAAATTCACTATATGACCAAAAACTCCTCAGGACAAAGAATGAAGCACATACACATAGAGAAGCAGAAATATAACATTTTATATGCTTAAATACACCACTTGTACTTTAATTCCCAGTGGCCTCCTAGCTCCCTGTTCCAGTTCCTAGTAAGATCTGGTTAAAGTATCTCCCCTTAGATTATAAGAGAAACACTGTAGAGAGGCTACACTGACTCCATTTTGTCCCAGGTACATCCAGTCAACAATGTTTTGGGAAAAAGTGCAGGCCTTGAAACATTCCCCCCACCCCAGTGTAAAACCATGAGGTCCTATAAGGACAAGAAGCAAACAAGTTATATAATCTAAGATTGTGCAATTTGAGTTTCTTTGTTCTTTATCTCAAGAAAAGCTGCTTGTCGCAAATAGATTGGAAAGTTATAACACTTTTGGGCCATGTAAAACTACACAGCTGGAAGGAAGGAAAACCTTGTGGCTTTAGTAAGTAAAGGAGTACAGCTCAAGATCAAGCTCAGAGGTAAAAAAGGTTGAGCAACACTCAGAAAGATAATGGGTTGACCCCCTAATCTAAAAACTAAAGGACCTAGTGGAACCCAAAACATACAAAGCATCCTGAGAAGGAGAAAAGTGAGAAATTGTCTAAAAAAGGCAGGCAGAGGACATTGTTAATAGTGTATCATGATTTAAAAGTCACAGTAGTCTTATCACTCTGTTTAGTTTGAATTTATTTTGTTCCGGTCTGTCTACTCATATTAGATTTGAGGGCACAGACAGTTATCCCAAAAATAGAAGGTTATACCATGGTAACTATCCTTAATTTCCTATTAACTTAAACTGAAACCCTGTATTACACACATTGTCTTATTATGACTGATCTTATTTGAAGCTGGTTTGTTAGACTGCTGTTTTGCCTTGACTGTTTTTATCCTAATTTGGTGTGCTTGATAGTAGCAAGTCTAAGAATAGAGGCAACTACTCTGAAGATGACAAGATGTAAAAGATACTCATTCTGGTTTGATTATTAACTGCTTGCAAAGTTCTACAATGTCTCCAAAGTTGTGTTTTTATTAAAATAGCCATGTAACGCTATGTTCAATTATATTATGTCTGATGATGTAGACAATTCTATTGAAAATAACAAGAGAAAGCATAGTAATTACTATAAATCACCTAATATTGTGGTCTTATATGTCTTTTTCATTTCATTTTTTTCTAGGAATTTGTTTTGTTAGCTTGTTATGATCTGTTTTCCCTATAATACAGAAAGGATAGATATACATGTAGAAATTCACACATGGGGAGAATTTTTAAACTATTTACAGGAACAGATTATATAATACAAGATGTAATGAACAGATACTCTGAAGAAGAAGAGACACTAAGAAACCCAATGCTAATCCTGTAGCATTATCATATAAAATCTAGAAATACTATTATTCACTGTTCAGAGTGATATTAGTCTAGTTTCTTATGTTCAATTTCAGCATACGTAAAGATGAGGACACCTTCTACAAACAGAATGAGAGACATTATGGCAGTCATTATTGACTTCCCCAGTGTCAAGTCTTGACGACCTAAAAGGCCTTCATCATCCTGTAATGATTTGATTAGTTCTATAATGTTCATTATGTATTCACTGTGTGTGAAGATGGGGACAACTATTTGGAAGAAAACTAGAGACAATAAGATAGACAGTGAAGATCTGCAGTGGAATTGCTTTGAAATCTGTGTTTCTTTAAATTGTTTCCTTATGATCTGTTTTGTTCTATTTTGTTATGTTTAATCTTATCCTCTTTAAAATAAAAAAATCAAAAAAAAAGTAAAAAAATAAAAAAAAATCAATAAAAGCTGCTTGTTTATGCTGGCCAGGCAGCAGCCATTAGGATGTATGACATTTTGTTTTCCTTTTGTTTGCAAGACCCCAACAATACACCCATGACCTAATCAGAATTCCTGTTTAATAATGCTATCTAAAGTAAACCAGAAAAGAAAATGAGTCTACTAAGGAAACTAATATATGACTGAGGAAATAAACAGAAAAAGGTGTTCCACTGCTGTTTATTCCAATGCTACTGATTTGTTGTGAAGAAGAAGAAGAAGAAGAAGAAGAAGAAGAAGAAGAAGAAGAAGAAGAAAAGGAGGAAGAGGAAGAAGAAGAAAAGAGGAAGAAGAAGGAGAGGAAGAGGAGGAAGAAGAAGATACAGTAGTAGTAGCAGCAGCAGCAGTACCCTACAATTCCTCAGTTCTCTGATGACTTTACAAAATGATACAATTCACAGAAAAGAGCTCATCAAACAAACCCCACAGCATCTGGATTTACAGTGCACATGCACTCCAACAGTTTGTCATGGAACAGTTTGTTCTCGTCTAGTCATGACCACTGCTAATTCTAAATGCTAAGTCTATCCCCACCTCAAAGTAGCTGCTCACATTCTTACCCTATACATTACAGAATTACATATTTTGAATCATATTCTCAACACTATCTCCCTTCTCTAAGACCATCACCCATACTCACAGGTATAGGCAGACATATTCACAATGTATGATCCAACTTCTGGTTGAAAGCAGTTATTGAACAGTGGTAAATACCAGTCCTTAAGTGGTTCAATAATATTTTTCTTCTAGGAAATTGGGGCTCAAGGGGCTGGGGATTTAGCTCAGTGGCATAAGCGCCTGCCTTGTAAGCAGGCAGTCGTGAGTTCGATCTCTGGCACCAATAAAAAAAAAGGACGAAATTTTGGCTGAAATAACACTTGTGCTAGCTAAACAGGGATATCATATGTGTAAACCTATAAATTTAAGAACTAAGGCTGCCATTTGGGGGTGGTCTTTTTCAGTTACATGTATAGCAAAGCAGATAAAGCTTCAAAGTGAGAATTAAAAACACTAAAAGAGTCCCCACAATCTGAAAAAGCAAAGAAAAAAAAGTGAACAGCCACTCTTGTGGTAAAGGGAAAATAGGAAAAAGTACAAATTGGACTTGATGAACAGACAGTCAGGAAATACTATCACTTTAATGATGAACATTTAAGAGATCAGCTTCTATGGAGTAGAAGGTGTTAGTAGAAGGTGTTTAGGAGGTGTTGTGAGATGCAGCACCCTAGGAGAAAAAGTGTAACAGAATCTCCTCCTAAGTATCATGACAAGGCCAGGTTCTCCAACGCCACGGATGATGGGGAAGATGAGGGCAAATTCTTTTGAGGGTAAAAGGATCAAAACTCAAAGCCGCTCTCCCACCCGGGGCCCAACTACCACCACTGGGGACCAGAAGGTGCACATCCAGCCGAGCGGCACCAGCCCTGCTGCCGCCTCTCCTGCCCAGGGCCCAACTACCACCACTGGGGACCAGAAGGTGCGCATCCAGCTGAGCAGAGGCTGGCCCTGCTGCCGCCTCTCCTGCCCAGGGCCCAACTACCACTGCTGGGGACCGGAAGGTGAGCGTCCAGTGGAGCGGTGGCCGGCCCTGCTGCTGCCTCTCCTGTCCGGGGCCCATACTATGACCACTGGGGACTGGAAGGTGCACATCCAGCTGAGCGCAGGCCGGCCCTGCTGCCGCCTCTCCCGCCCAGGGCCCAACTACCACCACTGGGGACGGGAAGGTGAGCGTCCAGCTGAGCGGAGGCCTGCCCTGCTGCCGCCTATCCCGCCCAGGACCCATACCACCACCACTGGGGACTGGAAGGTGTG